AAAAGATTCAATGATGAGTTTTAACTTCAAACCTATTCGCTTCTAGTAGAATCTTCTATTAAAAACAATAGACAATTTCTCTTCTTTATAATCCTATCTTTTCAGATAAAATCTTTTGCATTTCTATGTAATCGTTTTAAACCTAATTCGATTGAATTTTTAAAAACCTCAATGAATACTTATCAAATTTGCATTGCGATTTAGCCATGCATTGACACATTATAATTTCTAACGCATTGTTTTTGAAGAAATAGAGAAAAACAGAGAATCTTCTTCTTTTCTTTCTATTTCTCGCTCGGAATCTCCTGCCATATTTTGACTATCGTCGAAACGATGATTGTCATACTAACTGTGCTCAATCTCGGGCGGCAAGTTTGCATCAAAACGTTTGCATATTTTCCTCACATTGCGTCTGCAAGTAATTGTAAGAATAGAAATGTCGAAACAAATTGTGTTTTCGGTCTTATCTCGCTTAACAACGTTCTTATGAAAAATATGTAATCAAATAAATGAATATTCTCGCTTTTGCACGAGGAAAACTCTCTTAGTCAAGCGAATGCAAACGTATTCTGATAGAAGAAGAAAAAGAAAAAAATAGACATGAAGAAAAAAATCGAGCGACAAAGAAAACGACATGATGCTCATTGTAAAAAGAGCAGCATCAAGATTAAGAGAACGAAGAGACGGGGACAAACATCACCCGTAGAATACAAAGACACACAAGAATATACGACCGACTTGCCAGTGAGTTAATTGTGTATTAAAAACTAAGAGAGAAGGAGAGAGAGAAAGAGAGAAAATGTTTCTTTTGTTAACATATAAAAATATGTCAATTCGTCGAACTAAATTTAATTTGATAAGAAATTTTATATTTTGATCTAACACATTTCGATATTTAATAAATGAAAACAATAAATCCATACTTACATATCAAAAAAAAGGAAGATAAGATTAGTTTAAGAAGAGATTAACTCAATTGTAACTGGTACTAGAATAAAAAAGAATAACTAGTTTAAGATACAATGTTCGTTTTCTTCTTTCGCATCAATAGAAAGAAAATATCTTTTTTTCTTCCAACTAGCTCATGAATGACATCATCTTTGCCTATTTCTTTCGAATTTGTCTCTTCACTCCATCCGCTTATCGTTTTTTCAATCAACTTCCTATTGCTAAAAAGAACTTCCGGTTAGATAGTAGTATTTACTCATCTATATAGAGAGAAAGGAAAAAAAAATTTTTTTTTAAATAAAAAAACCGAGACGAAAAAAATTCTGTAGTCAATTTACTTAGACTATTTATAATGATATTTAACACTATGTTTTTATTATTAAAATAAAACTAACTGAGAAGTTTTTTTTTTGTTTTTTTCCTTTTCAGCTTGAGCAACATCATATAAAAGTAACAATGGTTGTCCACGTTGGTGGCCTTGTGGCCATTATTTCTTTTTATATACTCATATTACTTGTTGGTATTTGGGCTGGACGAAAACAAAAATCGTCTGAAAAATCTCCTGATACTGAAGAGATCATGCTAGCAGGAAGAAATATTGGTTTACTCGTGGGAATATTTACAATGACAGCAACATGGGTGGGTGGTGCATATATTAATGGAACAGCTGAACAAGTTTTTTCTACTGGTCTTCTTGCATGTCAAGCACCATTAGGTTATGCTATTAGCTTAGTTGTTGGTGGTTTATTATTTGCACGACCTATGCGTAATGCTGGATATGTTACAATGCTTGATCCATTTCAACGTAAATATGGACAAAGAATGGGTGGATTATTATTTATACCAGCACTCTTAGGAGAAGTATTTTGGTCAGCAGCTATTTTATCAGCATTAGGAGCAACAATTAGTGTTATTTTTACTGATATTTCTATGACAGCATCAATTCTTATTTCAGGTAAGAATTTAGATTGATCTTTACTGTTTTCTTTTAAAAAGAAAATGATTATTAAGTATGGATTTTGAGAAACTATAAAATAATCTTGAACATTCTTATAGAATTATTTAAAAGAAAATCTAAACAAATTAACAAGAATTTATAAATAATCAATTTTATTATTCTAGCGGCTGTGGTTATTGTTTATACTCTTTTCGGTGGCTTGTATTCGGTTGCTTATACAGATGTTGTTCAACTTGGATTTATATTTATTGGTCTTTGGATTGCTATTCCATTTGCAATAGAACATAAAAGTGTGGGTAGTATTATTTCAACATGGCCTGATTGGCGTGGTCGTATCGACAAATCTCAAATCGTTGAATGGATGGATAACATGTTTTTACTTATTTTTGGTGGCATTCCATGGCAGGTTAGTCTGTCACATTTCTTGCATGAAAAAAATTCTATGAATATTTAAGAAAAAAAATGGAATCATAAAGTTTTGTTAGTCACTTGGATCGGTAAAAGAATTAAATTAATACGCCTAGACATGAATGAACAAAATCGCATGAATGATTTTATTTTTATAATGTCACGTTTTAATGAAACAAAAATAATTCTTTTTTATCAAAAGAATAAATTGTCATGAAGAAGATTTTATATTTAATTATAAGAGTTAGGTCGTACAATTAGTTATATCAACAGGAGAAGTCGATATGAACTATGATAATATTGTATTTTGAATGATAATTTTTTTTTTTTTTATTTCATTTATAGGTCTACTTTCAACGCGTTCTCTCAGCTAAATCAGCCAAGAAGGCTATGTATCTCTCTTTTTGCGCTGCTGTTGGTTGTGTACTGTTGGCTATGCCACCTGTGCTTATTGGAGCTATTGCTAAGTCAACTAGTTTGTATCAAATTGATATCAATATAACATCTATTTTGATGTTTTCTTAATTGTTTTAGATTGGAATATGACAGATTATGATATAAAGAAGGATATCACATCACCTGAAGCAACGAAATTAATTTTACCATTAGTACTTCTACATTTGTGTCCAAAATTTGTTGCATTTATCGGATTAGGTGCCGTTTCTGCTGCTGTCATGTCTAGTGCCGATTCGAGTGTACTTAGTGCAAGTTCAATGTTTGCTCGCAATGTCTGGAAACTTGTTCTTCGTAATCAAGTACGTAATAATTGATTAATGAAGAGGAGTAAACATCGATGATTAAACTACAAACTGATTGATGTATATTTCGTTCTGTATAAAACGAAACACTAAACGATTAGATTTGTTTTTAATCAAGAATACACGTTTTCTATGATCTCTTGGAACTTCAAATATTGATTTCTTTGGTTTCGGTGATTACTAGAAACCATTTTTTCTTCAGAGAGTAGCTAATTGATATTCCTTTACAAATAATTTTTGATTACTTTAATCTAGATATGAGCGAGCCGAGAGCTCAGTCAGAACTAATAAAATCTATTGATCGAAGTCGAAAGTAAGACAACTGATCTTGCTCATATTTAACTGATCACTTAATAATGAAGATATCAGCCACTAAATGAGTATCAGCAGCGGAGTAACCTATTTCAAACTTATAAACAGTAGTAAAGAATTATTTCAAGTTCTCATGTGACAAAAACTTTGCAAAATCTGACATTGCACCTAAATCTCTTTTTTGATCAGGATCAAAACAGGTGTCTATCATTTCAATACTCGTCAAGATAAATCAGCTAAACTTTCTTTCCTATGACAAGTGAGCGTAGAAAACATGAACGTTCTCTATCTCTTTCACTTCATTCGTTATAACACATTTTCATGCATTAGAAATAAATTAGAAATAGTTATGAATAATAAAACATTAGAGCTCTAAAAGAATGATGTTAAATCATTTCAAAGAAGCAACTTTCGGTATACATTATGATAATATTTTCATGTAAATAGGCATCCGAACGCGAAGTTCTATTAGTAATGCGTCTGGGAATATTTCTTGTTGGAGCTGGCGCTGCTGGTATTGGTATTCTTGTCTCTTCGATCTATGTTCTGTGGTATTTATGTTCGGATCTTGTTTATGTCATACTTTTTCCACAATTACTTTGTGTTGTTTATGTTCCGCATACAAATACATATGGTTCATTGTCTGCCTACATTATCGGTTTTGTCTTTCGTATACTTATTGGTGAACCCTCATTAAGTATTCCGCCATTGATTCATTTCGGTCCATATGTTCCACCAAAAACGTTATGTATGCTTATTAGTTTAACCACAACATTAATTGTTTCACTAATAGCAAAAATGTTTTTTGAAAAACGTATCTTACCACCACAATTGGATATTCTCCATTGTCTTGTTAATATACCAAATGAAGTTTTACCATTAAAAGAAAGTACAACAACTGATGAATTACAACAACAATATCGTATTGTTAAACCAAATTTAACAACAATAGGACAACAATATCTTACTGAACCAACGATGATGATCAATAGTTCATATTCACCAAGTCAAGATACATTAAATACTTATGCAAATTCATGAACATATCAAAATAAATAAATACGTGTATGTATGAATATAGTTTTAACCCTTCCGGTGAATGTTGTTCTTGTTGTTTTTCCTTGCATACCTATACATATCATTGATTTGATCATATTTTATTTGAATTATTTGTCATGGTAAACGAAAAACAAACGTTGTGGAGGTGCTTTATATTTTTATGTTGTTTTCTTTTTTCTTCTTTTCTTTTTTTTTTGTCAGTAGTCAGATTAATCAAAATCAAGAACATACATATCATACAATAATCAATTTTTTTATCGATCTACTTATCGCCTTGTGATCAAAAAAAAACAAGAGAAAACATATCAATTTGCCTTCCACATAAGAATAATTCATAATTCGTAGAATATAAAATACCAATCATTATTATTACTGTTGTTGTTATTGTTGATGTTGTTTGGTGTTGTATCTTTTAGTATGAACAAAATAAAAATATTTCGTTGTTCTCACCTTGCAATCAAATCTGTTTACTGATCGCATTTTCATATGTTACAAAAATAGATCATTTTTTTTATCATCAGTTTAAATACAAATACATATATATATTGATTCGATGTTTAAGCATCTAAACCAAGTGTTGTTGTTGAATCAATATTAGGCATTGGACCATCATGATGATTTAGCATCCAGTCATAGATTTTATATGATAGTCGTAAGCCATCTTTGGAACCTTGCCGATCGAGTAAAGTTTTAAGTAATGATTGTTTTGGCTCATCAATATATTTTGCTATCCATCTACAAGAAAACATATATTAGATATAGTGTATAAATTTGATTAAACAAAACTATTCACCTTAATACTTCTGTTTCAGATCGACCAAAATCACTTTTATACCACAGAAATAATTTTGATAAACGAACTTCAGCATTTTCAAGTATAATATCAACTTCAGCATTGCAAAAAGATGTTGTTGCCATATTTAAAGCTTTTTCAAGATTTGTTGATGAATATATTGCAATTTGCGGACATGAACGTGCACCACAATTAAGTGCAAAATGAATACGTGGGTCACAACGACGCATTGAATACCGCACACGAGGATCATTGAATGTAAAATGCCGTTGAGTACAATTTGAGTGAGGTTTATTACCTGAGAGAAATAGTTAAACTCACAGAAAAAAAAGACAAATCAATCAAACCTCGTAAAATGCCATGTTCTATGTCATCTAAGGAATAAAAATATGATCCAACTTTATATGATGTTGTCTTCCAAAATTGATTTAAATCGAGAACCGATTTAGGTAAATCATTTAACGAAGCTAATCCATGAATTGTCAATATATTATAAAGATCTTAAATGAAGAAATTTTATTATTGTTTTTTTTCTTTAAGTATAATTATTGTATATAATCCTTACTAATGAAAAATGTTTTACGTTCATTTTCTGTGACATTTTCAAGGCTAATTGTTGTCAAACGATTGCCCATTTCACATAAATCATTATAGACATTACTTGCACGCAAACGACAATAGTTAACTAAACGACCGGATGGATCAATAAACGTCGCTTTTAAACTAACATTACAAAAAAGAAAACAACAAACGTATTAAAGAGAATTTTTTTAAATGTTTTTACTTTAACATTTTCTTTTGTAATTCAATTGAAATTTGTACCGCATTATAACCATTCTTAGATTTTGGTTCATTTTCATCATTACCTAGTATTGTTGATGATGGTGTTTTTTCTGTCGCTAAATGTTCTAATGGTGGCCAATTAAGTATATTGAGTAAACGAGAATTTTCGATTTCATCACTTTTAACAATAATATTATTATTACTATTATTATTATTATTATTATTGTTTTCGGATGTTAATGAAGGTTGTATTCCATTAATTACTTTGACTCGATCTATGATGGAGTGTAAGAAAACAGAGATGACATTAACAAGAAAAATAAATTTATCGTATTTTTATTCCCAAAGTGTATATTTCTGTTTGTTGTTTTCATATGTTGATGTCCATCTGGTAAAATTCACATTTGTATAATGTGATATGATAGAAACGTTTTAATCATCAATATGGTTCTTTTTGACAAGATTAGAGAATTGCTACTATTACGCTTGGCACTGATCGAATAAACATGAAATAATTATCGTAATAGAATGCGAAAAAGAAAATAGGATCAAAAATAGAGTCTTGCACCGAGTGATGTCTTTTTTTAGTTGATCTTCATTCAAACAGTAGACAAAAACACCTTCTTGATTAATTTCCGTTACATTTGCGTGTTTGTTCTAATATGGCAAAGACAGATGTGTCGTACTGATGATACAATATGTGTAGACGCATGATATGAATAATTATGTTTCACAGCTCTTCCTTTGTCTCTTTTGCTTTCATAGTGCATGTATTTTACATTAACAGAAAAAAGAATTCCTTTCATCTAATTATTCAACACGGTGATGCATCAGAAGGTGGTAGATGAATACTTGAGGAGAAAATGAGTGATGATGATGATGATGATGATGACGTTTGCATTTGTAAGCTTGAATCGCCATTCATATGACAAAGATCTCTATTGTTTCATTTATGTAATAACAAAAGAAAAGGTAAAAAGAAAAAAACCTTTTGTGAATGTTTCACAATGAATAATAAACGAACCTATATATATATATATGTATTGATTCATTAGTATGTTATATTTTTATTATCGATTTTTTCTATTGATGTCGGAACACATATGAAATAATGGTGACTGATTGATCAACAAACGACCTTTTCTATAGAATCTCACATGCGAACAAAACAACGGAAAATTCACATATAAAGAAAAATTCTATGTTGAAATAAATCAAAAAGAGGAAAAATCGCAATCAAGCATTTGACAGATCATTCATTCTCCAATACGAGGCGTTTGACTGGTTTTTCGAAAGACAAATGCATGTTTATATATATTTATATATATATACATACAAGTATTCATTGAGGAAGTCATTATTTTACTGTACACGTTTACAATAAGGCCGGAACTATTATTGTTTCCTGACAGGCAATATAGACAATATAAAGGCAAGAGAAACAATATCAATATGTCGCATATGGACACATAGATTCTTCATATAACATTAATATAGAGAAGCAATAAAATGTTAGTTGTAAAATTGATCTAAGATGATAATCGAGTGAATATAACTCGCTTGGCTTATTATGTTAGATAAAACGAAGCAAAACAAACAAAACAAGAGAAATAATCTTTTATGCAGTATTCTGCGAATAAATATATTTAATGCTTGTATACGGGAGTTATCAGAAACAACGATTATATACTTGAAATAATAAGAAAAATAATAAGAATAATCAACTGATTCAGTTGACGAAGATCATGTTTCGCTATTTATAGTATTGCTTGTCATGATGAATTTTTCTCAGCAATATTCTTAGATCAATCAAATTGTACTTACAAAAAGGTCTTGAACTGTTCGATCGACTATACCGAGACATGATTTGAAATAATTTGTTTCTATATTGATTCAATTTTCGTGGTGTTATTGTTGTTGTTGTTATCAATAGGTGAGCATCAATATGTTGTATAGAAATGTCAATTGGTCTGAGTGTGCTCCACTCACTCAAAACCGTTTAAACGGTACCCGAGTATTGCGTAGAAAGAGAGAAAGAACTTCTCTCTCGCTCTCTTTCTTCTAGAGAGAAAATCCAATGACAGTATTTCTTCTTGTTCTTTTTTTCTATGTCTGTCTCTCGCTCTTTTTCTTGTGCTTTATGATGCTGATCATCATCACCTTTTCTTCTTTGCCTTTTGCTTCACTATTCTTGACTGCAACGAATAATGTTTCTCTGAGTATGCCGATAGATGATAGATAGACAGAAAAATGAGTACACTATACAATCGAATAAGTTCTAAGATGGAAGTATATAGAAGAACGGAGAGAAGAGAACTACACATTGATCAGAGATCTGGTGTGAAAGAAAAACGAAGAGCCGAAATGAATGTCAATCAAATCAATTTCAGTTCTATATTATTTATTGTCTCAACTCATCATCAGTAGCATCATTAATATGTGTATTATTATTATTTTTATTATTATAACAAATAAATTTACACGTAAATAAGAATAATAGTTTAAAGATAAGATAATAAAATCCATTTTAAAAGTTTTATATGAGTTCACCGGTGAACACATGTTAAAGTCACATGATGTTAGTATTACACAGGTAATGGAGTTTGTCGTTCAGGAAAATCAATTACAACATCCATATCAGGTGTACAACTAAAATTTAAAAACGAAAAAGATAAGAGAAAGATTATTTAAAATAAGCAAATAATATTTTGGAATAATTAATATGATTATCATCGATGTTAGAGAGAGAAATAGATATCTTATCAATAGTTATTTATTTCAGTTAGTTTTGTAATAATAAACTTCTTCTCGAAAAATTATCAAAGGGATAGAACCTTAATTTTCTTTTCAATAATTAATAATTAAATATCTTAGTTTCAAAGGAAACAAAATTTCAATGCCAGAAGAATAATTTCTCTCTCTGTTTAATAAAACAGAAGTTTCAGACATTGTATTCTATTCATAAAAATAATGCTTATTCCGAAAAGAGAAAAGTCTGGTTTTTCATTGATCTGAGAAAACAGATGCAATCTAAGAATTTGCAACATACATTGGCATTGAATCTTGTCGAAAAACATGTGGAAATAAAGTACGAGAATCGAATGCTCGACTTTTTTCACGTTTTAATTTTGCATTTAGTTTTCGCATGTGTTCACATTCTATTTCTAATAAACGAAGTTTTTCTTCTTGAATAGCAATTTCCTAAAAGAAATCTATTAATAATAGTTTTAAAAAATAACTTGATTTCTACTTCTTTCATTCGATCATTGTCGAGTGCAACAAGTAAATAAGACATATGCATATCGGAAAAAGCTGCCTACATAAATAGAACAAAAGAAAAATTTAATTGATATCACTTTCTGATTTATAAACCGTTGCTTGTTCTTCTTTTAATTGTGCTACAGTTAGACGAAGATTTTCTAAATGTTGTTCTTGTTGCTTTTCAAGGATACGATTTAATTCATCAACTTCTTCCTATTATAAAAAAGAAAATCGATTCTTTTGCTTCCGTTTTTGAAAATAAAACCTTCACATACTGAACTAAAAAGTTTTGTTTCATCGATTTCTTGAAGTAATTTTTGCAGTGTTTGTTCTTTTTCAGGATACTCACTATCCTAAAACAATCAAGAAGAAACAAATTAATTTATTCATGTAATTCTTTTACTTTATATGTTTTTAATTGTTTAAGAAATTGTTGACAATCACCTAATTGATTTTCAAGAGATAAAATTTGATTCTCATACACTAATGGTAGAAAAAAAGAACAAATATATTTGAAATAATTTATTTTTAACGAAATGTTTTTTTTTTACTTTCAACTTCATTAGCAAGTGTCTGTCGTTCTTGATCAATAGTATCAAGTAATTCTTGTTTTTCTTCGTTTTGTTTCGTTTCAACAAGTGAAATAGTTTTCTACAAAGAAAAAAAAAGTTTTCTTTTTTTTTGTTGAAATAGGAAACACTTTTTTCTTAAATACTTGATATTGATCAAACCGACGTAAATTAACTGCCACTGTATCGTGAGCTGAATGTTCTACATGAGAAATAGTTTCACGTAATTTAGCATTATTCACTTTTAAATCATTTTCACGTTGAATAAATGATTGTATACGTGTACGATACACTACAAATATAGGTCATTTTTTTTTGATTTTTTTTCTGGATATAGTTACTATGCAATTGTAATGTTAACCATTGAATTTTGGCTGGATTCTCAGGTGCAAAACGTTCAGGTGTGGACTCTTTTCGTAAATGTCGACATCGTCCTGAGCATTTTCTTTCATCGTGTAAAGCTAAACATAAAAAATATTGCTTGTTTTTATTGCGCAAATAGATGAAAAACTTACGAGGAAGACCTGCAGCAGCTGTAGTTGTTGTTGTTGTTCCAGCTGATTTAGGTGGTCGTCGTTGTCTCATCCATGGTGAATAATCAATAACTGCAGTTGATATTTGACTATGGAATGAATGTAGAGCTGAACCACCAGATGGTTGTCTACTTAATGTACTTGAATACATCTGAAAACGAAAGAAAAAGTTCACATTTATTTATGTAGTTTGTATCAGACATTAGATAAATTAAGAAAACATTCAACAAAGGCACCGAACGATATTCATTTTATAAAGTAATCACACTTCAGTATTGGACAATCACTACGTATATCCATTGGTGAATAATCATAGTAAAGTGTATAGGTTGGAAATGATTGTTTATGTGTACCATCCCTGTAGGCACCTGTCAATCGACATTCTTCAAGTGAACGCATTGGATCAAGAAGACCATGACGTGAACGAACTTTTTCACGAAATATGCTAATTGATCGTGTTGCAAGATCTGTTTCATCAATCACCATTTTGGATAGAGCATAAATACTCATATGATCAGGTACAGTAAGACGAATATGACCCGGATAAGCATGGTATGAATCAAATGTGATAAGACGAAGATGAAGTGTAACATATCTATATATGAATATTAAAAATAATTAAGTTAATTAAATATCAGTGATATTACTTGGGATGACTCAATTGTAAAGGTTCATTAAATGGCCGTTTCAATTCTTTTGGTAGTTTCTTTTCAAGAACAATCTCTTTTGATGGTGGAACAGTCAACGGTACTATGTGTCGTAAAATACCAGTACTAAATTCTTCATCTAAGATAGCTCGATAATCAATGAAACCTTCATTTTCAAATAGTTTCATTAAAATAAACAAGTCTTCACGTGATATTATAGGTAAACGATCTTTGATAACTATGATCATAAATAAAATTAAAACGAATAAATTTGATTAGAAAATGATTTAATTTTAGTTTTTTTTTACCAAGTCGAAATTGTTCATATGACAAACGACCTGAATCAAGTTTGTCTAATAGTTGACAAACACCAAGTAAAAGTTTTTTGTGATTTGTTAATAATGAATTGATACGTTCACAAGCAACATTCAATTTTTCAGGTGAAGCAAAGATATTTTTAGTTGCTTTTGTCAAACGTTCCTATACAAACAATGTCAATTGATACAATTCTTGATCAGACAAAATCAATATTTACAAGTTCTTTTTCACGACCAGCTTTGCCTTTCTTTTTCTTCTTCTTTTTCTTGTCTTCTATTTCATCAGCTTGTCCCTGTAAAAGAGACTGAACTAATGATGTTGTTGTCGGTTGTTCAGTTTTTGTTGCTTCATCAGCTGATACTGGGTGAGGTGCTGCAGAAGTAAATTCATTAATTTTGGTTTGTCGTTGTTCTTCAGCAGTGTCTTCCATTTTACAATGAAAAAGAAAAGAACAGAAAAAGCAATGATTGTCGACATTTCCATTCACCGTCAACTCACCATGGTATCGCACAACGCTATTTGCATGCTGTATCGATTTCAACGATGTAGAGCGCGCTGTTATTTGAGCTTTTTTAATAATTAAATTGAAACAGACTAGTGAAAAAGAATTAAAAAAACATACAATATACTCATTAAAATTATTCATTCAGTTCTTCGTATTTATCTATATTTATTAGGAAACTATCGATGAACGAGATAGAGAACGGCTGAACAGAAATAAATTAATTAGGATTTTAACAGTATCAGTAATATAATATTGATGATGGTTAATTCCCTGTAGACATCTGATTTTTTTAACAGGATATAAAAATTTAAAGGTCTTTAAAATCCATATTATTCAGGTTAAATAATAACTTTTAAGATGATATCTTTTTGGTTCTACTGTAATAAAACCAATCAGTATTTTGATTTAGACGATAAAAAAGTATTCTCTTATGCGACATAAGTGTCAGTTAACATAAATAACGATTTCCGATTGACAATGTATAGGCACGATTTTTTTTGTCTGGTAATCGTAGATTTCATAACTTCAAATACACGACCTCTGTTTTTCTCGCGATAGAGTATTGCGTATCTTGGATTCTGTTTCGAGATAAACTGTTATTTGATTTTGTTCTTAATTGATTTTATCTTTTGGAACTATTGATGTGCGATGTTTGTTCTGATTAAATATGCGTAAAACACACTTTTTCTCGTTGAGTATTTAAGTAATATTAATTGGCCATTATTCATTGAAGAAAGAAACGAATCGGCATGCAATACTTAATGATGATTTGATTGACACTTGGTTTCTTAGCTCGGAAGATTGAGAGATAGCATTGCATGAGAAAGTCTTCAAAATTGCCATCATTGATATTCATGTCTTGATGGAATTAATCAAATTTGCTTATGTTTCATTACACTATTGACCTATCAACTAGTTGTCGTATTGACACAAGCACGATCATCGATTGTATGTAAATTATGTGACTTCGACTAATTCCTTTGTGTCATTCTCCAAGCTTCAAAAGAGAAGCATAAAGATAAGGATGCTAATATAGAAAACCAAGGAGTCAATCTCGATACATCCAAATGGCTTCTCTAACTTATCCAAGACGCTACCATTTTCAAAAATATATCAATGCATGCAGTCTTCTATTTGGTAGACAAGGAAAAGTCTATTCAATCTCTCAAACAGAAATAAGCTTGTTTCATGTAAAGTCAAGTTCTGCTCGCAACTGTCCTTCTTAGTCTACAACCTCTGTCGAACCAAGATATTTATAAAACATCCATTGAAAAATCTCGTCTCTGTTCTAAAGGAAACACAAGAGAATTACATGAAATGTATCTATTCTTGCATAGCTAAATGTCCGTTCAAGCAATTTATTGGTGTATGCTAGCAGTATTTCTTTATCAAGCCTTAAATAGAACATTTCAAACACAGTATGTTTTGACTATCTACAATACTTGATTTGGTTTAGAAAATGCTTGTTCACACTCTAAGTGATCTCTCGAAATTAGAATAACCAAAATATACACATAGTAAGATAAAATTCGACGTATAACCCTTATAATATATTAAAACAAGAATAGAAACATTCATCGGACTGATGTTTAAAAATGTTGTGGTCAATATAACAGACAAGAAAATAGGATTTTTGAATGCATGTTTACAAAAAATGTCTCTGCTGCATAAGAGTCGCATATATTATAAACTCTTGATGGTTGCAGTTCCAGATAAACTTTCTTTTGTTTTTTTCATAAACCTTTCGATGGATAAGCAATGTGATGCACTATATGATTCTAGAAAAGAGTAGATTTCTCTCAGATAACATGCTAGTTTTAAGTGTCATGTATTTCGATTTACTACTGAATGATCAATAACTCCAAGAGGTTTTTGAAGAAAGTTGTGTGTTGCATTTGAAGAACTTCTGCTGCTGAGCACTATAACTACTTTTACAAGAAAATTTTCAAAACTATAATTATAAAATATGTTTCAAAGACAATACAAAACAATCTAGTACACTTTTTTCTTTCACTCTTGATATTTAAAAATGAGTGCTCACTTTAGCAAGATCAAAAACTTCAGTTGATTTTTTTCAGTTAATCGGTAAACACTTGAAGAATCTTTGGTTTTACAATTATCTTCTCTTATTCATTTCATAGCTGAAGATGAACAGACATCATGAATGCTACAATGTAGAGAAAAGAGAGTCAGTTATTTCGGCGTCATCGATGAAAGTTTTCGTTTCTCGTACGTGCTTCTACAAACTATTTAAGTTCACAACTATGAAGATCTAATTGAAAGAAAAATCAAATACATTAATGATATCGTTATTTTCATTAGGTACTTCACAAATGAATTTGCTAATGTTCATTCTTAAATGCAGTCATTTATAACAATAATCAAACACCTTCGGTTTTTTTAAACTTCATTAAACCTTAATATATCTGACATTCTGGCAGAAGTTGCTTTTCCAAGCAAGAATGTCATAAATATTATTGAGTGTTATCCAGGTCGCCTTCTCCAAACTGTAGAATAGTTAACAACTTGCCTAAAATTATTCACACTATTGGAGCACTGCTTTCACTCCTATTTGTCTTTTCTTCACTGTTTATAAAAAAAGCAGTTAAGTCCTATTTTAATAAATGTTTAGAAACTCGAAAGTATAATTATATACCTTGAAGAAATCGATGATCTTGGTTATACAATTTATTATTACTATCTAGAGATGATAATCTCTACTTTTGAATAAGCAAACGATGAAGAAAAGCAGTTAACGATTCTCTACTAATACTTCGTATTCATTATCTGTCATTGCAACAAGGCGCACAACGTCAAACATATGCAAATTTAGCATGGAGTACTCGAAGTCATTTACGAATTCTATATGAATATAACCCAAGAGCCTGACGTTGCCACTGAATTCGAAAGAACGATGGGGAAGATATCGATTACTAAGCTTGTCTCGAAGAAAAACTAACAAAACTGAAGAGCATCACTGGACGATTATCTAGTAACAGTTGAACTTGAACAATGCTACGAGTCGGTTTCATCTGTTCTTTCTTACATGGATGATATGTAACTATTGGCTAACTATAACAAAAATTATGAATAGAAAGCCATGTCGATAAATGACTAGCAGCATTTATTAATCTATCACTTTTGTTCGGAATATCTTTTTCCCACATAATACGAATCTTCCTATTCTGATAAAGATGAGTTATATTATTTATAGTTCCATAAAAATGAGTTTATTAAAATTAGAATATCGTAATGAAAATAAGAAATCGATAATGATAAAATAGTTATCAAAATAAAGAAATAAATCTTAATTCTTGATAAAGCTTGCCAAAAAAATAGTACTCAACATTCTCAGCCAAGTCTGCTCTCAAGTTGCCAATAAGATAAACACTTGAAAACGACTATTTGAACATTATGGAATATGCTAATCAGCATTTCTTTTGATTGAAATAATCTATACAGTTTTTAGAATAAAACCAAATTTTATTTTCCTATTACTATTTGCTATATGAATAGTTATATTGTTTAATATTATCTTAGTAAGACTTAATAAGATGAATGACTATCTAATCGTATTTTACATGATATTGTAAAGGATTCTATATTACCAAACAATTGTAGTTAACATTACATTAAACATTTCTAACTATTTTGTTGAAAGATTCGAACACTGTTTTACAC